TTTACTTATTTCTCACCAAAGCACTGAAAATATTTGAGAGAATTCGCAGCCTGTGGACCACATCCTGAGCTGTAGAGGTGTGTGCAGACCCAACAGGCTATGTGTGTTCTCAGCCCACGAGGTCGGTTCAGCTGGGCCCACAGAAGCCAGGACTGGAGATATTGCAATGAGAGTTGCAGGTTTTTTCTGTTTACAGGAAACACATGTTTTGGAAATTCAGGTGATTACAAGGAGTCAAACCAAAATCCCCAATCACATTTCTGGCTCTATAATGTGAAATATCATTTTCTAGTCACAACACTTTTTATACAAGTCACCATCAAAGGCATGAGTACCCATTATGAAGTACACATGCACTATTTTATTCATTTAGTAACTGGGTGCAGTATTTTTACTGCCTCAATGATAAACACTGATGATACTCTGTTCTCCTTGCCTAGTTCTTGATAAGGCATTTAATATTAAAAATTAAATGTCTTGATCTAGGTGTAGGTGTTGCATCCATACTTTTTGGCAGCTATTCTCATAAATGCAATTTGTGTCTTGACTAGTCACGTGATTTATTAATAAAAGGAGACTTGTCGAGTGTTTTTACTTAAGGATATTTGTTGATGACTATGAAGACATTCCATTTCAGCATCAGGGTGTCAATTCTTAAAACATTCATAGTCTGTATAATTTAATGAAACAAAGTACACTTTCGTTTGAGCAAATGTATTCATTATTTTTGCCTAGGAAAATGTAGAGAAGAGTTTTATTTAATTTTTGTGTACCTAATCTAGGAAATCAACAGTATTGCAAACCATTTCTTGGGGAAACATATATTAGCAGGCAAAATCAAAAGAATCACTATATCTGGTTCTAATCTTCTTACTAAATGCTGAACTAGTTTGTAAAGGTTGATTTTTTAAAAGTTTATCTGGTGTAATCATGTTGCATTTTTTAAATATTGGCATATAAAGGCTCCAAAATTTTGTAAATTTCTTAGACCAACAAATAACAATAATTACAAATTATTTATGATTACTTACTTCTTCAATGATATATAAAGTTATAACTTTTTATCTCCTTTGCATCTCTGAAAATCTACCTTAAGGACAAATCTATATATTTAATGTAAAGTATAAATAGTCTGCTGAACACTTTCAGACTCTAATAATGTCTATATGAAAAACATTTTTGAATGGTAGCTCTGGTAAGAATTTCTGCTTTTTCCCAGTACTGAAAAAACCTGAACAAAATAAAGTCAATCAATAGTTTATTGGGAAAGATTATAAAACATTAACTGGAGAACAAAGTCAAATGCAATGAATTCCATAAGAGCTGAGCACAGTGTAGTTTTATTCTAAAGAATAATTATTGAAAATAATTCTTCTTATTTTAGACATGAGTAATAAGACATAAATCATGGTCTCCTCTCTGTATATCTGTTATTTAATTG